TACCCCCGTTGTACCAAGAGCTACAGTATTCACTCATGACTGTTCTTGGGAAGAAAGCTTCGCAATACGCCCTAAAGTCGTCTGTGGCAGCCTGCGTAGGCGCCAGACTCCGAATGCCCTGTGTCACGGCCTTGCGCAGCACCTTGGCAATATAGGTGATCTGGATCTCTACCGAATGGCACAGAGTACCAGCAGGTCCTGTGGAGTTTGGCCCAACAATAGTGAGGAAGTTAGGGAAGCCGGGTGCTGCAAGCCCTAAGTAGGAGTCTGGGAAGCCGGGAGAGCCACCTGGACGCCATGCGCTTTGAAGGTCGATACCATTGCAAGTGACTGGGAATTGAGTACTGAAACTGATATCATGTCCAGTGCTGCAGACCACTGCATCGACCTCCCGGTGAATACCTGCGGCTTTATGTTAGTACCACTATCTTGTCCGTCTTGCCCTGATCGAAGAAGCAACTTACCATCTACGGTACGTATACCGGTTTCCGTGAATTCAGAGATCGGTTTTGTAACATAGGAAACGTTTTCAGCAGTCAAGGCTTCCAAGTACCCCGGGCCAGGCGTCAAGCGACGGCAGTTGGGTGAAAATTCGGGCACAATTTGATCAATCAGCTCGGGTTTAGCAGTAAGTCGGCCTGCCATGAGCTTTCGAATGCTCTCCTCGGTGGCAGCATTCTTGTCACTGCCCTTGAATATACCACCAAACCGACTAAAAAGCTTCCCCTCGAGCCCTTTACGAAACTTGAGATAGTCTTCGGGACTCTTCCGAGCCTGTTCGATTCCATCAGCCACATAATCAGCCAGTGTCTCTCCGCCGATTGGAGCAGCGACCCAGGTCTTGTTTCTCGCGTAGTGGTCGAGATGCTCTGCCGCCTTCTGCAAGTGCGGTAGTACCTGCAGCCCCGATGCGCCGTTGCCAATGACGGCGATGCGCTTATTGCTTGGATCGAAGTCTCTCTTCCAATCCGATGTATGGAAGATGTCGCCTTTGAATATGTCCATGCCGGGGTAACTGGGAAGTTTTGGGTCACTAAAGTGGCCTGTGGCTGTGAGGACAAAGTTGGCCTCGTCGATAAATTCTCCATCCTTGGCCTTCACATGAACAAGCCACTTCCCCTTTTCTTCGGACCATTCTGCGGACTTAACGCTATGCTCAAGATGAACATATTTCCGCACCCCGAAATCGTCAGCAACTTTGTTCCAGTATTCATTAATCTCGGCTCCTTGCGCATACGCCTCTGTCCATGATGTCGAGGGCGCAAATGTCGCCTGGTAAGCATGAGCCGGGACGTCGCATCGGACGCCAGGATAGACGTTTGAGTGCCACACTCCGCCCTAAAGGAGAATAATGTTTCAGCCCAGGTAACTAATCGAATAAAGTTCTCATCAGGTAGCCTACAATGTCACTGTTTCGCTCATAAATGACAAGATCAAGCGCGGGCACTTTGGGGGGCAGCAAAACACCAGCCGTGATGCCACTAATCCCGGCCCCGATCACAATAACTCGCAAGCGTGGGTATTCATCGATAGGATGCTCTTCAAGGTTCAGCGCAGGCCAGATAGTCCTTGTGATTGGTGCTTTCTCCTCTTTGCCAACCTTGGACTCTAAGTCCAGGTCAACGGTGCTTGCCGGTGCCATTGTGGGACAGAATGTAATTTCATATGCTGATGCTCAACAGCTGATTGACAGGGAATAAGACAGATGCTCACGACTTTAATGAGGCTTTCTTAAGTCCGGAGCAGACTACTCATCTCATGGGGGCAACCGAGTTGTCGGGTACCGACTCGAGCGCGCGCTCAAAAGCACGTAATATGACACTACGGTTGCGACTGTGGGTGCCAGGGTTCTGGACAATTTACGGAGCGACAAGTTCATGCAAGGATATCAGCGATATCGCATTGTCCACAAATCCAAAGCCAATCGGACACATGCGCCTCTCAATATGGAGTGATTACGAAGCATCATCATTAAGACCGGGCTGATGTGGGAATAGAATATCCGCAAGCCAGTCTTGTTAGCCATCTCGCCATCCGTCGTCGGAGAGAATTTCCCGCCATGCAGCCCCCGTTAGTTTCCTTACCAGGAAGCTGGGCCAATCTAGCCAGATAGGTTAATTGGGTGTGGAGAGACCTGACAGTGGGCAGAATGGCGACATAGCAAAAGAACGGGGTCAACTTGTTCGTCCACAAGCACACCGTATTATTCTGGTTTGACTACAGGGATGTTGATTAGACAAGAGCATGGTTTCGGAGGTCCATTCCTTTGGGCAGCGGTGCTGGAATCCCGCACAAGGTTTCAGGGGCGAGTATCGACTGAGAACGGTATGAAATCGCCCGCCTGTCCTTGCGTATTGGGTCGCAATTCCACTCTCTATGGATGAACTCACGAGTAAGGCGACAGTTGGCTAGCTGCATATATTGACTCGACATCCAAAGCTAACTATCAATTTGGCTACCTTGATAAACGAAGGCGTGCTTTGAACTTACCTACGCTCCAACCACGTGGGGGTTGGCGATGAGGTGATCGAAGGACCCTGTCTAGCGTCGTTGCATCAACGTACATATTTCATCTTGCATGTTGTCACACTTGATCTCTCGTTTCGGTTTCATGCGCAGAGTCGGCGAAAAAAGCAATTTTCAAGATTAAACCATGGCGACCGATACCAAGTCCCATGTTGTCGTGGCATCTACTGCCACACCGACAGACCCAGAGAGCAATAATCCGGAGCAAAACGTATCAACGTGGGAACGAATACGTGAGGTAATTTGGGATGGACGGCGCTCAAAGGAGGAGCGAAAGCTTGTCCAAAGATTGGACTTGTTTCTTCTGTGAGATCTATCACTCATCGTTGCTGAGTGCACGTGCTTACGTTAACTACAGGTCTTGGGCAACATTCGGATACTTTATCAGACTACTCGATTCGAGCAATATCAGTATGTTCAGCCGCCTGCTTTGTAAAGAGGAATTGCTGAACGAGATGTGCTGACTTGGAACAGCCAATGCCTATGTCAGTGGAATGAAGGAAGACCTCGACATCAAGGGAAATGAGTACAATCTTCTCCAAACGTTCTTCACATGTGGTTATCTGGTCGGCCAGATCCCGTCGCAGATGCTACTTACACGGAGTAAGTAACTCAGTCATTTCGAAAGTCCCAAACGAACACTAACACGTGGAATTCAGTCCGTCCTTCCATATATCTACCCGCGGCCGAGCTTCTATGGACGATCATCACCTTCTGCTTTGCGAGCGTTCAAAATACCCGAACCGTCTTCGCTCTGCGATTTATTCTCGGCATGCTGGAGAGCCCTTTTGCGGTCGGTGTTCTTACAATTATGGGAAGTTGGTATACTCCTCAAGGTAAGTGATACACAATGTTCTGCGACACATGATCCTCCCTCCGCTAACACCTTTAATCCTCCCTAGAACTTTCAAAACGCATTGCGATTTTCTACTCCGCTAGTTATGCTGCCAGCATGTTCAGTGGCTACTTACAAGCGGCAATATACAGGGGCCTCGACGGTGTCGCAGGGCTTGCTGGTTGGAGGTGGCTATTCATCTTCTGCGGACTTATTTCAATCTGGGGTCCTCTGTGGGGTTTCTATGCCGTCCCAGACAACCCATATTCCTCCAAGGCGCGTTGGATGCCCGAAGAAGAAAAGAAGAAGCACGTGGAGCGCATGCAGAAAATCCAACGCCGAGAGCCTGAGCGCCTAACTTTGCAGAAGCTCAAGAAGATCGTCACCCACTGGCCACTCTACGTGTTCATCTTTGCTCTCATGTAAGTCTCCCACCTTACCTGCGTTTCCAGTGCTATACTCACTCAACTGGCCAGATGCCATTGCGTCGTCACCCAGCCATTGAATTACTTCTCGGTGTGGCTGAAGTCTTTGAACCAGTTCTCAGTCTATCAGATCAATCTTTTCCCCACTGCAGCTCAGGCTCTAGGTTTGGTAACCACACTTGCCTACTCATGGCTCTCTGATGGTTTAAACAAACGCTGGCAGATACTTGTCATTCCTGCAGTATGTTCTTAACTCCAGAAACTTTAGCAGGGAAAAGGCTTCCTAACTAATGTCGTAGACTATCAACTTTGTCGGTATGGTTATCGTTGCCGTTGGTCCTGGCTACGGCGCCACCTTCTTTGGATACCTGATCAACGCGGCATCATGGGGATTCTGGCCCGTTCTCTACGTAAGACGGAGATGACCTCTTCCCCTTCATTGTTATTAGCGGGCTAACAATTCCTCAGGCTTGGGCAATTGAGCTTATGAGCGATGATATGGAGGAGCGTGCGATTGTCATCGGAGTTGCGCAGACGTTTGGGCAAGCCTTCATTGCATGGGTTCCAGGTGAGCGCATATGCATACACATTCTGTTTCATGCGGCTAACTCTTCACAGTTGTAATTCTCGACGTCGGAAAATACGCGCCCAAATTCACGATGGGCTTCAGTGTCATGTGTGGGATTTCGGTGCTGCAGTTTGCCAGCATTTTCATCATCAAGTTTGTGAGCGAGCGCTACGGTACAAAGGGAAAGCACGGTAATGAAACTCTTCCAGCGGACTCTGCAGACTCAGATGTCGATAAGCAGAGCAACTAGAAGCGGCGGTTGTCTTTGGAAGTACATCACCTAGATTCAGCATCCAACAATAGGTCAAGTTGACAGCATCATCACCCGCATTTTGATTCCTCGCACGAGGACTTGCCCGTCTCGAGCGAATGTATGGCTTGAGAAGAGAGGGATTCTTACGTAGGGAACATTATGACTTCTTTTGGGATGGCTTCTTGCGGCCACAACCGGCTTAAATTGAACCGAGGCAGCGTAAGCAGTCGACTCACTCGCCAGTCACAAGTTAGGGTCAAGGTCGTGTAGAGAAAAAAGCGTGTCCGATTCATTAGAAGGCGGCAGAGCCTGCCTTTATATGGGAGTTCCCATTACTACCAAAGCTTAGCCCGGCTTTTCAGACCTGGCCCCCTATCCCTGCCTCAGTAATATCTACTTTTTTGACTTCTCGAGTTCGTAGTAAGCTGGGAGCGCCCACTTCTGTATCCACTCCGAATTGATCACTTGGCTGATCGTTGATCGTGCCTCTGGTGTGAATACAAGCATCGATCGAAACATTTTCAAGAGCGCTCTTTCTTCCTCTGGGTCAAACAACGGCATCTTCTCGGCGGCTCTGGACTGTTGCATACTAATCTTGAATTTATCCTCGAGCGTTTCGATCTCGTCATCGTCGTCTTTGATCGGTTCCCCAGCTTCTGTGAACCATTCTCCTCGTGCCTCCCAACGCTTCCACCAAGCTGGAAGTAGGGGTCTCAATGCTTCGATCTGTTGAGCGGCGATAACGTCCTCATCTCGGAAGAAGCTCTTGAAAAGAGGTCCCTGGCCAAGAACTTCCCACATGGAGCACGCGAGAGTCCAGATGTCAGATGACAGGCCAAGGGGTTGGTTCGGTTCAAAGCGAGCTTCGGGTGGTCGTAATAGCGCCGGTGTGCGTGACTCAAACTTCTTCTCCTTGTCCGGGTAAAAGGCCTCGCCAAAGTCCACAAGCATAATCTGGGCGTCGGGAAGACTGATGTCTTCACTTCTTCCACCAAGCCACACTGGCAAGATACCATGGGTCGGAATGCCGGGCGGGAGCGGCTTTCCCTCGAGATGGACTACTTCTTCTCGCCTTGGGGCGCCATAGGTGTCGTATAAATCTTTCTGGGTCATTTGGCTCATCTCAGATGTCATTCGAAGGGCTATGTTTCCGAGATGTAGATCTGTACACGATTTAGTTAGGCAGGATAGCATATGGGGGAGAGACAACTACAGACCTCCATGTGCTAGACCATGATCATGTAATGACGAGACAGCAAGAGCCATCTGTGCAGCCAAAGCTCTCGCGACATCGAGTTGGAAAAGCCTGCAGTCAGATGCATCCAGGGCGTCTGAGACAGTCATCCGAGCAGGGATAGTCGTATAGCATGGGTGCTTTCCGTTGGGGCCTTCCAGCATGAAACGATCCAGTAGAGGGGGTAGAAGTTGGCTATGAGGAGCCGTGTTCTCCAAGATGCTGGCTTCTTTGAAGTTGGCGTCTCCCGTTCCGATTTTGAGGGCTACATAGCGGTTTTTGAGGGTGTCGTTCGCCAGCCAGACGGTTGAAAACGTTCCGTGGCCAAGTTTATGAACGATACGGTACCGATTATTATGAAAACTGTCACGGATGTTAACAGCATAGTAGCCTCCAGGGGAGTATCTGCCCATGCGTTCCACGTCTTGGATGGGCGCAAGCTCCCAACCCTGGGGCAAATCAGCTGCTCGAGAAGACAGGGCCCGTATTGGGGGAATACGGGAGCCATGTCGGAAGCCCAGGGGTGCTAAAGAGGACGGCCTAAGCAAAGAGGCCCCGAGCCTCGAGATGGGAGACATGCGGAGCATGGCTTTTGTTGATGCTGTTTGGTGGAAGGTTCTGTTTGTTGCGTTTGAACAGTTCGTGGGCAGCGGTGTAAGCAGGAAAAGGAAAACCTCAGCCTGATTAGCCAGGCAACAACAATCTGGGGAGCTCGCCCCTTGCCATTAACAGCCACGCTCGGCGCTGGAAGACACAGATACAGGTATTAACATTTGTTATCTAGGTACCTAGGTAGGTAGGTACCTACCTAGATAAACCAGGCAAGAACCCATATTTTACATACCTTACCTAAGTAGGGATCGTTCCCAGATATTGTATGTTTGGTCGTAAACCAAGTGCAGCGTCTTTAGTTCATGAATCTCCTGGATACCTCTATGCACTGGGCTAGACAATATCTCGTCAAGGTAGGTACTCTTTATTGTTTTCTAATGCATAAAATGGCCCTTTATCAAGAATTCTAAACTCCAAGGAGCTTGTAAAAGCGGACTCTCGAAAGATTATATCATTGGCCCCCTATGTCTAAAAACTCCTGATCAAACGGCCGGGTTTGGTTTCTCGCCCTCATTGTGCTCTTTGTGACAGGTCCGCTAGATGACTAGAGTTGCTTCACTCCTTCAAGGCATAGGCTTCATCTTGAGTACCAACGGTAACATCCCAAAGACAATCGAATCTAGACAATCGAATCTATTTGGCTACGGGCAGCTAACGTCATCTTGTCTCCGTTTTTCTTCTATCACCCTCTCGCAATGATTCTGTGTAGTTGATGTGTAGGCGCAGTCATAGTCCTACCCGAGCCAGGTAGCACAAGCTTCATTCCCCCATCTAGCCGTCCCTATTTTATCACCACCGAACCCATTGCAATTGCTAGCCTCTTTGACCCCCATACACTAAGAAAGAAGATTGGACGCTAGACCTGGCAGTATGATTTTCATCTGGTGATGTGCACGTACTCTAAACCTCTTGAGGCAACCTGTAAGCGACACTATGCGGGCAATAGCGTCCTAGAACAGGCAGGTCCCAGACCTCTCCTAGCTCATTGCTAGAATGCAGTCCATCGTCTCCTTGAGACAATTTACGAACCCCAATGTGGTTTAATACACCCTACCACTCCGTAGAAGTTTCCCTTTTCCTGCTGAAAGGATCGACCTTCCAGGGCGCTTAAGCGACGAGCCTGGCTTCTTTGGCGCCGTTTTTGGAGTGGCGGGTTTCTTCCGGGTTGCAGCTTGTTTCTTGGGAGTTTCGCTTGGTTTCTTTTTTGCTGTCCTGGACCTCTTCGGTTGCTTCGCCACCTTCTTCGGCGCTGCGGCCCGCTTCTTCGCAGTTTGGACTGAATCCTTTGCCGCCGCAAATGGTTTCTTCGTTGCCCTTCTTAGTTTCTTGGTTTTTGCTTCTCGCTTTTTCAGAGGCATGCGACTGACACTTCCCCTCCCTCCCAACGAGGACAAAGAGACCCGTCGTGCCATTCGAGTAGAATCGGAAGGTGCACGCTTTCTCGGACTACGGAGTCGCCGGCGAGACTTGACACGAACATGATTGGGATCCCTTGATTCTCTCTCTGTAGCACCACTTCTGTCGCCCTCTCCCTTATACCGAGAAAAGACATCACTACAGCATAAAAGGATTGCCATACCGACGAATATTGAGTCCTTCATTTTGGCTTATGACGATCTAGTCGTTTTAAGGCGTATGCTGTGACGGGATATCGATTTCTAGGATTTCAAAAGGCTCCGAGACTTCGAGTTGATGAGCAGTTAATACTCAATGCGAGCTATGCCGACCGATCTGTCGATACTATGTCAGGTAAGATGTTAGCATTATAGTCTCATCTTAACGAAATCTGGGTAGAAGGTAGTATATTGATAAAAGCGATTAATTGATGCCAAGGGTAATCCTTCGGCGAGGCCACTTACAGATCTAGATTGGGTCTGTTGCACCGAGCGGGCGTGACAAAAAGATTGTTCGGGATCAAAGATATTTTGGGTGCTATACAGAGAGTATGAGCATGATTTTTCCGTTGAGGATCGGAGGCATGGTCCGCAAACTCTCCTCGCAAATGTTGAGGACGAAGTAGATGAGCAGGAGAGAAAGTGACAGGACGGAAAATGTGCCTTGCTCAGCGAAGTGGGGATAATGGCCTACCCTAGACCGCAAGCCTCACTTTTGGCAAGTGACAACCATTTCGCAACTTCTGTCACCAACGGTCAATCCTCTCCTATTATAAACACCGAATTTTCGAGATCTCCTTGATACAACATGCAGCAACCCAGGAGCCTGATCCCAGCGCCTGATCCTATCCTTTCTTCGCCAAGTGAGCTCTATCCAAAAAGAAACGCTGAAATGAATAATACTAATAAATCTGCACAGCCTCACATCGATGCCTCATGCAATCACTGATCCCCTGTATAGAGTAAGCAATCGCCTGGTGCCTAATTGCATTGCTACCCCGCCGCCGAATTTTTCTCCTCAATCTTTTTCTTCACCTTTCCATCAGTGTGTCGGGAAATCCGCGATGCATAATGTCGGGACTCGAGGGACTTGGCCTCGCAGCTAACATAATTGCAGTGATTGATCTATCTGCGAAAGTCATCTCATGGTGCTACCAATACTCCAAGGACGTCAAGAACGCCAGGGCCGACATCGAGCAACTCCAGCAGGAAACAAATAGACTCAAGATCGTGGCTGAAGATATTCGCAATCTCCTTGAAGGCCCGAACGGTGCGAAATTAACGACAGCTAAACGATTATCCACCGCGGCGGGTCAAGTTCGTTCAGTTCTCGATACAGTGGATAAGACTTTGAGCAATCAGAAGGGACTCAGACGGTTCGGTCTTCGTGCGCTGAAGTGGCCCTACGAAAGCAAAGATGTGGAGGGGCTGCTACAAGAGCTTGTTCGAACACGCGAGATATTTCATCTCGGTTTACAGATTGATCAAACGTAGGCATCACATTACCTAGTAATGTAGACGCGATGACTAACATCAATATAGGAATATCATTATTGGTATTGACGAGAGAGCGAAACTGGACCGTATCCCTGTTGCTGAAGGAGCATCCTCACATGCAGATGACCAAGATGCCACGACCTGCCTTCCAGACACTAGAGTGCAGCTCCAACAAGATATATGGGAGTGGGTTAATAGTGACACTGCCAAACCCATTATGTGGCTGAGCGGTAGTGCTGGCACAGGAAAATCGACCATCTCCCTGACGGTCTCCAGCGAGTTTGAGAAGGTCGGCATCCTTGGCGCAACATTTTTTTTCACGCGGACACAAAAGGACCGATCCAACCTGTCCAAATTCGTGTCGACCCTTGCTGCCGACTTGGCAGTCAAAATCCCGGAGACTTGTCGGCACGTTCTGGATACAGTCGAAAACCAGAGCGATATCTTCAAGAAGGGCGTCGGGGATCAACTAGACCAACTCATTATCGATCCTATCATCCAATGCTCAGCGATCCGTGGGCAGCGCCCCATTGTCATCGTCATAGATGCTCTGGATGAATGCGAGAGAGAAGCAGATAGCAGGTCCCTTATTCAGCTACTGACCAGATCCAAGATCGCTCAAGTGTCGCATCTTAGAATCCTCCTGACAAGCCGACCCGAGTTGCCTATCCGGCTGGGCTTCAGCCTAGCGGATTCTGAATCGTTCCAGTCTCTCACCCTGCATGATATACCTGATGAAGTTATCCGGAAAGATATCCTCACTTTCCTCTTGTTCCACTTAAGCAAGATCAGAGAGGAGTACAACGCGTCCGAAATTTCTCATGGTCGGAAGTTGGACCCAGCGTGGCCGGGAAAAGAAATGACCCAAACATTGCTCGGGATGTCGGTGCCTCTATTCATCTTTGCCGCCACTGTTTGCCGTTTCATCGGCGATCACGTATATGGACATCCAGACAAGCTGCTGTGCGAGGTTCTCGATTTTGGAACAAAGAGCCAAGAATCCCAGCCTCAGCTCGACAAGACCTATTTCCCCGTAGTCAATCAGTTGATAGCAGGACGGTCAACGAAGCATCAGCCACAGATTTTACAACGGTTCCGGTTGGTCGTTGGGTCTATGATTCTCCTAGCGACCCCCCTTTCGAAGCAAACACTTGGAAGGATCTTGGGGATTGAAGATGACGAGATTGACCACCTTCTGGACGGCTTACACTCTGTTGTCGACAACCCATCCGCACCAGAATTGCCAATAAGGTTCTTTCACCTCTCATTTCGAGACTTTCTTCTCGACCTCGATAAGCAAGACAGTCCATTTTGGGTAGATGAGACCAAATCGCATGCCCATCTTGCGTCAAGGAGCCTAATTACTCTAAACAACACCCTAAAGCAAAATATTTGCGGTATAACCGATTGGTCCAAGTCTCGGAAGGACCTCAACTTAGAGTCCGCGCAGATCGAGTCTTTTCTCTATCCAGAAGTTCAGTATGCGTGTATATACTGGGTGCATCATTTTGATATGGCTGGCGCGGACCTTGTTGATGACGGGCAGGTTTTCGCTTTTATGAAAACTCATTTTCTGCATTGGCTAGAGGCTCTTAGTCTACTTGGCCAAGCTCACGAGTGTACTCTTTACATCAAGACACTCCAAAGAATATCAAACGTAAGTTCAAGGCACCAAACATGTTTATAGCCAATGAAAAATCTGTCTAATTGCTCTCGCTATTAGCCGGTACATGGAAAGGAGTTGTTGAAATTTCTCCACGACGCTGAATATTTCACCCTTGCCTATACAAGTGCGATTGATACATTTCCACTCCAAATTTACTGGTCACTGCTCGCTTTTACGCCTGTAAAGAGCATATTTCGAAAGCTGTACACGAGCACGGTGAATGGGGGGACAATCATTCGGATAACAGGTGAAAGCGAATGGAGTTATTGTGTACAGACACTCAAGGCTACGCACGCAGACCGTCCGCAACATGTGGCATTCTCCCAGGACTCGGCATTGATCGCAACGACAGATTCGCTTGGTGGTATATGGGTTTGGAACACCGTCAACGGAGAGCTTGTTAGGAACATTAAGCCTCCTGATCATGTGGAATGTCTCGTTCCACCTCTTTTTTCGCCTGATTCGTCACTCATCTGCTCAACCGCGCTCACATGGAGTCACACCACCAACCAGGTTTGGGACATTATCACGGGGCAACAAGTTCTAGGCACTGCGCGCCTACCCTCAATCGGTGGGGATCTTGGCACCTTTCCACCCCCTACTGCGTACATCGAAAGACAATCAGAAAGTACCATGGGGATCTGGCGTCTGGAACAAGATTTCCCCCAGGTAGTAGGCCTGGTCAGGGCTCGGGATGCAAGCGACTTAAAGTATGCCTGCTCAGTTGATTGTAAACTCATTGCAATTTCTGGAAAAGACAACGGAAAGTATGAAGCTTGGACTCAGATCCGGAATGTCAACTCAGGCACTCTTGTTTCTTCGTGGCGGCAGCAATTTCTTCAAGTCACATGCTCAATCTTTTCGCCTGATTCAGCTTTGCTAGCCGTGTGTGGGCTACGTTCGTATAGACTGACAGGCCATCTGTCCCTCTATGATGTCAAAACTGGTGAGCCTCTGGAAACATCGTTCTCTGGAGTCCCGCCATATGTATGGTCAGTTGCGTTCTCTCACGACTCGGTGTTGGTGGCTACCGGCTCTATAAGGGGAGAGATTCACTTATGGCGTACGGAAACCGGCGAGTGCGTACAAACTTTAGGCGGCTATAGCCACGGGATTACAAGCATTGTCTTTTCCCACGATTCCAGGTTGCTGGCATCCGCTTCCGAAAACAATACTGTACGCCTTTGGAGAGTCGCCGAGGCCGGAAATAACAGCCTTGGGGAACAGAAGCTGCATAGAGAAACCCACACCATAACGATTTCTCCAAATTCGAAGAAGATAGCTACTTTGGATGACGCGGGATTGTGTATGTGGAGCGCTGATACGGGTGAATGCACTTGGTCTTATCGTTGTCAAGCCAATGCCAAGCTGTTGTTTTCCCCCAATTCGGCTTTCATCCTCGTTCAAGAGAAGAAAGAATTCGGAAAAATCAACAAAAGTGGACTTTTGCATACGGATACAGGGGACTGTGTGTCTCTTAACGGTCAGGCTCAGAAGAGCCGAGAGGGAGCTTTCTCCAATGATTCAGAGCTCCTTGCATTTACGGACGGCGATAGCTCGGCATCATATATATGCGTCTGGAGAACCACCACTGGAAACTGTGTCCAACGGTTTGAATGTCCAAAGGGCAACTGGGACAATTTGAGCTTCTCGCAAGACTCAAAACTCATTGCGGGTATTGGCCGCGGCATCATTTGTACCTGGGACATAACAAGCGGCCAGTGCCGCCAACAAACAATGCCAGAAACCTATGTTAACGCATCCTATCTTTCCATAACATTCTCTCCCAATTTGGATTGGGCTGCGGGTATCAATTTATATAACGAGATTCGGGTATGGAAATGCGATACAGGCAAGCTAATACACGATTGTTACGTTCCATCACTAGACCTCAGGACCTTCGACATGACTTACGCCATCATTTTCGTTCCAAATTCTAATTATATCATAGTCAGTTCATCTTCTGGCTTGATTTATGTCTGGGATTTTCAAACAGGCATCCGCATGGCCAGGACAAAGAATCTTTACCCCCATCATGGAGCTGTGAGTTTTCAATCAGAGAGTTCGCAGCTACTCGTTGGGACTGGGGCGGTTGAGTTGGTTAACCTTCTCCCTTATCCGCTACCAAATTCTCCGTCTTCTTCGTCTGAGAGGCTCGACAAGTCTATTGAGCCCCGTCGCTCTGGCTACGGGATCAGCCTCGACTATAGTTGGATTACCTGGGATGATGACAATTTCTTCTACCTACCACTAAGCTACCAGCCGGACGAATTCGACGCAATTCTCGTATCGGGGTCTGTAGTCATTATTGGCTATAAAAGGCTAAGAAAGACGGTTGTTTTTAAGTTCACCTCTGCCAGAGGAAGTAAGCCAGTGGCAGACATACATTTCATTGATCATTGCAAGCCAATACCATCTCGTCGATGAGCACATGAAGGAGAGTCCAGTTAAAGATAGAAGGTGCTTTACCAACCCAACCTATTGGTTAAGTTAAGACATCGATGCTTCTGGCTTATCTATAGGGCAGCTAATACCAGGATACATCAAAAGCATTCGTCCGAGAGTGAGTTCACATCGTTCTGGGAGCCATGCTGGGCACAACTCCTTTCGTCTTAAACCCCATTATTCCTTCTTATTTATTCCTCATTCGGCATTCCCAATCAGCAGCAGAATCCCTACTCCTAGTCAGGCAGTGGGATATCGACAAGGATGCGGGACAATGAGGCAGTTTGCGCGCATTGTCCTGCAAGCATTATCTAAGCTAATTTCTTGGCCCTAACTCCTCATCAGCAAAACTCTCCCTCATCATGTCCATCGGATCAAAGTACCGCACAGTCATCACCAAAATCAAGCTCAAAAGCAGACGTGGAAGTGGGTGCGCCGATCCTTCTGCGGGTCCTCTCCGTCAAGAACTGTCAATATTACTTCTCCTTCTCGCGCAACAGATCACGAAGAATGCCCACGTACTCGTAAAGCTATAATATAAGACGGCGCGCTTGCCCGAGGAACGAGCCCAATCACTCGAACTAGTCCCACGCGACAGGTACTTTCGTTCAAACCATGATGCGATCCCTTCAATTCTTGTCACCGGCGCTCGCCGTCGTGGCTGCCGCCCAAGTTCCGGCAAACAGGTTAATTGTTGAGTTTGCGGAAGTAGGCTCTCTCCATTGTCCAAGTTGCTTCCCCGCTGACGGTAGAACAGACCTCCCTTCTTCGAGCCGAGAACCATATCAACGCGACAGACGGCATCAACGTGGTCCAGACCTTTGAGTCAGACGTCTTCCGTGGAGCCAGCATAGAGCTTGACGGGGTGACCCCAAACGACGTCCTAGCCCTTTCCGAAGTCATAGCCATCTGGCCAAATGAGCGAGTCGAGCTTCTTGCCCCTGTCAAGCAGCAAACCGCCGCCGACAAGAACGCTGCCGACAAGTATGCCGTCCACTGGGCCACGGGCGTCGAGGAGCTACACAAGCAGGGCATCTATGGAGAGGGTGCCAAGATCGGCATCATCGACACAGGGATCTGGTACAACCACAACGCGCTTGGTGGTGCTTTCGGCGATGGTTCCAAGGTTGTCGGCGGCTATGACTTTATTGGTGATTCCGAATGGGGCCCCGGTGAGGCCAAGAATCCTGACAAGGACCCGATCGATCAACAAGGCCATGGTACGCATGTTGCTGGGATCATTGCTGGCAACTCATCGACGGGCTGGCTGGGTGTCGCCCCGCAAGCATCACTGTATGCATACAAGATCTTTAGCACGGGCTCGACGACCGACACCGCCACCATCATCGAGGCCCTTCTCAGGGCATATACCGATGATGTGGACATCATTACGGCAAGCATCAGCGGCGCAGGTGGCTTCGCGAACAACCCCTGGGCTATCGTTGCGACTAGGCTTGTTACCAAAGGGTTCATCATCACCATTGGCGCAGGAGACTCTGGGGAGGATGGGCCATTCTTCATCGGCTCTGGAGGCTCTGGTGATGGCGTTATTGCTGTCGCCAGCGCGCATGTCCAGGCTTCGAAGAACCAGACCCTACCCAGCTCATTCACATCATGGGGCGGCCTGTTTGACCTGAGCTCGAAGCCAGACATCTCCGCCCCTGGAACGGACATCTTCAGCACATGGCTCGGTGAGGGAGATAGTGAGTGCAGCTTCGCTGTGCTGAGCGGGACAGCAATGGCAACGCCATACGTCGCCGGCGTGGCGGCCCTGTGGGTGGGAAACTTCGGCAACAAGAAGAGTCATACAGCTTTATATGTAAAATACATCACCATGAGGATCATCAACTCCGGCAAGGCACTTCCGTGGCTGAACTACGATGGAACCGCCAACACTGCCTTCAGAGCCCCTCCGCAGCAAGTTGGATCAGGTCTTGTCAACGCTGCCCAAGTCATCGATCAAGTCACCAGCCTAGCGTATAAGCGATTCTCGCTCAACGACACCGACAATTTCCAGTCAAGCCAGGTATTCACTATCGAAAACACTGCCCAAGTGCCTGTTGTCTTTACCTTTGAGCACTCGAGCTGGGCTGGCTTTGAGATCCTCACGGACTCTGATCTTGCACAGCCAGATAAGACACCTCGAATCCGAACCCGGGAGGAGCTTGAGCCTAAGCGCTTCGAGGCCAGTGTGGAGTTACCAAAGAGTGTTACGCTGGGTAAATACGAGACAAGGCAGATGGAGTAAGTTTGGAGAGACCGTATCGTCACAGAGATTGGAGCTGATACTATCCAGATTCGTGTTTACGCCACCAACCGGTCTTGACGTATCGAAACTGCCGGCCTACGGCGGGACTATTAGTGTTAAGTCGAATACTACCGACGTATTGGTCGTGCCGTACCAGGGTGTTGGCTTCAGCTTGAAGGAGCAGTTCGGCAAGCACTTGTTTACGGGTTCGTATCCTCGGCTCGGATCGGCATCGGCTAAGAATAAGACGAGGTGAGAGTCGATTGAGAGCTCTGAGAGGGTTAACAAAATCTAACTATCCTATAGCTTCACATTTGACTTGAGTCTGTCGGCGCAGGACTTTCCCAAGATCTTCTGGAGTCTAAACTGGGGAACTACAGAGCTTCGGTTCGATGTAAGTCAAGATGACACCTATCACAAAGGTTCCTTTACTCACATTCATATAAACAGATATACGGTCCTGGTTTTTCTGCTGAGAGTGATTGGGTCTATCCCCCCGTCGTTGGCGAGAATAACTACATCGGCTCGGCCGCCCCTTGGACCAAAGCCAACAATGTCGAGACATTCGACCCGTCCAAGGACGACAAAGAAGATACCTACACCTTCCCCTTGGCCAACGTCAACAGAGATGCTCCTGCCTCGGATGACTCCGTTAACAGCGTCTTCTGGTTAGGAAAGCTCGCCGATGGGACATACATCCAGCCAGGCACATACACGTGAGTTCATATCTACCCAGAGTTAATAGCATGAGACTAATTGTTTGACAAGCATCCGCTTCGGGGCCTTGATCCCATTCTCTGATCCCGAAGATCACAAGAGCTGGAGCACCTTGACGCAAGAAATTCAAGTCGTCAATAAATGCAAGCGCGCCGTCAGCGCTGCATAAAAAATCATTCTGAGTTACTGTATAAACTGTAAACCGGGGGGTAAGGACTAGTGTTCAGTACAGCTACAAAACCACCAGTAGACAGACTGTAATATAATAGAACTGAACTTTTATTGTGAGATCAAAGTGAGCTGTAAAGCTCAGACCTAGTTGCCCGTAAAAATCAAACCTAATAGCAAGTTATCTGTAAACCTCCGACCTCATAGTAAGTTGTCCATAAAGTGAACAACTGTGTAGTCCGTACGACATCATTCCTGATCATCTAGATGTTCTAGATTGTGTCCTAGACGACTACGTAAAATTCCTTGATTCTTCTCTAGTTTTTATCGATTCCTGTTCATTTCCGTATCGTCAATTCAGTTCATAACTTCATCCACTCTCTGCTTTCTGATCAATTCATTCTTTGATGTATCAAGGTTGGGTCCTTCGAAAGGCGAAACCTTGACATGGAAACGGCGACACTGCTAGTTCAGCGACGCATATCGGCGTACCACAGCGAAGCTGGGCTCGCAAGCACCGCCTTCTCCGGAGGGGTCATTGGGCCAGAAGACGGGAAGCCGAAGCGACTAATGATGTGGAGATGGACAGGCTTGGCATCTCTCTGGCCAAGCTGCACCCAGTACCCGCCAAGATGATTGTTGCGTCCTCTGCCTCCGACAAAGGGTCTCCAGAATCTCTCCTTCTTGGCGCCGAGGTGGACTTGCTGAACATGGTCTGGGTTGTTCTCGAGTGCGACTCCCCTGGCCCCGCCGTACAAAAAGCTGGAGCAAGCCAATGTCACCTGACGAACGCCGGGACCGAGCCGGTGCACCATCTGGTCAAAAGGGATCATGATATCCTTCTCGAAGACTACTTCGATGGCTTTGGTAGTATTCTTCATGAAACCCCAGCCACCGCTCGCCTTCCGCTCACCAGGGAATATCTCCCCCTGGATGGCGACGTGGAGATGCTGCACACCTGGGAAGAAGACTGGCAGGGCCTCCAGAAACTTGTCAAAGGACTCGGAATCTCTGCAAGGCTCCCTTGTAGGCTCGCAGTCGCCCAGGTACGGGTCGAAAGTCCAGATCAGCTCCAGGGACTTGATGTTGGACAGGCGCTGGGGGAGCAGAAGCTTGTCCAGATTGAGCAGCATGAGCTTGCTTGCCGAATGGATGGTGTTAGTGGAGTAGAGAACCTCGATGCCCTCCTTGTAACTGTAGCCTTATATTAGCACAAGAATATATATACGATATCAGAAGTCAGGGGCGAACTCACGCTTGGCGGCAGCTAAGAAGCCAGCCCATGGCGCCAATGTTGCAGCTTGGCTCATCGTCTTTGGCATGCCACATTTCGCAGATATCACCCAGTTCTGTGTCTCCGAGGCCGCCATAGCGACAAAAGTCTTCAGAAGGCTCTAGCTCAGTCCAGAATTTCTTGTAAGGCTCGGGAGCGTTGCGGTGACAGACCGACCCCTGCCAGATCCACTGTTTAGGCTCCTGCTGATCTCTGAGCAAGTAATTATAGCCCGGGCGTCCAGCCGTATAGACGCGTCCGCGGCCATGGACGTGTGGGCCGTGTGAGCTCTTGTCATTCTTGGGGATCTCGACATCAGGATGGTCTTGCCAGAGGTCCATGTGGACGGTGCGAGCACCGAATGCCTCGGTTAGAATGCGAGTTCGGATCTCAGATGGCAACTTTTGGAAAAAGGGACTTCCAGATGCGGCTTCGATAGAAGACTGGGTGAGTTCATGGTTGGATGGTGTTGGAGTGAGCGGGCGCACTCTTGGGTCGTCCAGGACGGGCAGAACGTCTGGGTCGCCCTTCTTGGCCTGGTCTTTACCTCTGTGAGGAAGCATCTTGTGCAGAAGCTTTTTCATGCTACTGCCTGATGGCTATTGGGCAGGTCGATGGTTGCTGGTCTGGTGTTTGCTTTGCTTTGCTTTGTCTGAACGATATGCTTGGTGGTGTGAGTATGTAGGGTAGGAAAGAGGAAGAGGGGGAGGGAGATGAAGAGGAAGAGGAAGAGGAAAACCGTCAGGTAGGAGGTGGGATAAGCCCAAATGCAGGGTGACCCAATCAGGCTCTGTGTTACCAGCAGCTGATGGGCCTATTGTCACCGCGCTCTCAGCCTATCCTCAGCCTGCATTCGCCAATCCTACGTTGCCTCAGGCTCAAATCCAATAATAAAGATCCATCGGAGAATAGGTACTATTCACAAGGGAAAATGGACAGCCGCTTCAATATGAGTTCTCTGGAAAATCTTGGAGAACAATTAATTTCATACTGCTTGATGCATGATGCACCAGGTAATAATGGCTTGGGTGGCTTCGGCTTACTCAGTTTATGACGACTCAGATGCATGATTGAATTACCAAAAGTGGCCTTCAACTGTCACGTGCCCCATCCAGTTGAATAGACTGGTCTTCCCTATCTCGAGTCGAGTGTCCATCACTTGCATAGCGATTCATCCCTCCATTGGTCTTCCCAAGTCTCTCAACTGTGGCTCGAAAAGGCTCGAAGAGGCTCGAAAAGGTGCAGCTTTCACATAAAGGGCCTCGACAATCTTCTCGTGGATCCTGGAAAGGTGGACATCATCGCTGTCGGCACCCGGGTTTGCCATCTGTTAGATTGTTCCTCTTGCTGAAATGGCACGGGATCTCCACTCTCACCTCGTATTCTAAAGTCTTGATAGATCGGTGAAATAGGACTACGATAATCGATCAGACGAATGGTCCAACTCCTATTCCAGACCAATCCTAACAGGGGCAATAAAGATCGCACGATGCTTCTCCTTGGCGAGTATAAATATGTTGAAGACGAGCTCGGCAGTCAGGATACCCTCGATGTTTTAGAACTCATTGTGCAAGCGAAGCACCGCCTCCGAGAGTAGTATGTATATCGAACCACTTAAGGAAGAGATATCGTACAACCGTAGAACCGATGGTGGCGCTAGTCATCTGGGCCGCCAGCGGGCAAATACGATTAATAACTATAGTAGCTTTGACCATGACAATCCTCAGAGTGACGGCAGGGTTGAACAGACCATCGTTGATTTGAAAGAATACCCAGGCGCTGACTATCAAAGAGAACCCAAAGGAGAGAGAGATGTAAATGAGAAAAGCGAGATTGAATCCGGTGGATTCTCCGGTAGTGCTATTAGAGCCCTGACTATCACTTCTGATGTTGGCAACCTCAGTGCCAGCAAAGGCAAAGAATAAAAACATTGTTGGGTCCGCCAGTTTCCCTAGAAATGCCACGAAGTGTTCTTGAATCTTGAGTTCATCCATTTGGTCAAGAGCAGCCTCATCACTCCGGCCTTTTCCCTGTTGGTCAGATTACTCCAGTCAAGCGGGACCCCTCCCACAGCCCAAGGCTGATAGGTTGGGGTTGATATCTTTTCTCCTCATCCATCGTGCGGCGCATTTTAAGGGAATCCAAGGTGCCTCTAGAAAAGCTTTGGCGCTCTTCGTAAACTTCATCGTCCGGCTCTTGGTCGGTGATCACGTATCAACGGCTCAGGATTGGAGGCGGCGGACCGGAACCCCTGCAGGTTGTATAACGGCTGGGAGCCTCTCCACGCCAATAATGCTCATAATTGGAGAATTCCCGAGACTCTGCACCTGTATCAGCCTCCCACTCATTACGAAGTCAAGTAGACTTCTATGACTTGCATGCTGATTTATTAAGGGGAGGTCGAGGGATCGATATGCGCAGGTTTTCGATGAGTGAGGGTGGCGTAGGATGTCAGGCCAGAAGACGGGCGAGTGAGGGCGTTCTCTTGACTGTTTGAAGTTCGTATAGGAACAGCGGTGGTCGGTTCTGGATCTTTGGGGCCTTCGGATTCTCTTTGGACAGTTGGGCCGACGGAAACTCCTCCTGTGGCAGGCGCGTTGCGAGAGGATCGGTGTCCAACAGGAGCGACTTGGTTTTGAAGGGAAGACATCGCGTGAATAAGAAGAGAGAGGTCTAGATCACCGCAGTCCCCGAAGAAGGCGTTTGCTAAGGAAAAGGAGTGTAATTCAAAGTTTGTTGGTGAGGACCAGCTGCGAGCTGATCGATCAAGGTATCAGCAGTTGTATCTTGCATCTTGTTTCTTCATCCTCTTGTACCCATTCGCAGCATGCCATGTTAGGTCAATATTGTTGCTCGGTTGCTTCCTAGGCAACGAACGAAGTGGAGAGGACAACCATTTCTGTGAGGAGTCGTAGAGCGGATCGGTTCAACTGTCATTGAATGGTCACCCTGCCTGGACAGAACGAAGAATGGATGAAGAAGCGGCTGAGGCGTGCGGCCATATGATCGAAGCTGATATATCAAAGGGGACCGTCTCGAACCGATACGGGCGAAATGGTAGCCAAGGTACGGGCAAAGGCCGTGAGAGTTAGTACGGGAGGCATTGCACAGAAATCAAACCCGGCTCATCCCTCAGCAAGTGGCCCTAAATATTAGGGATATCGTGGTGAGTTGCATGAAAGATCTGGATGATCCCAGAGAACGTGTTCGTGATAGGAGTGATTAAAGGGGGGACGAAAGACTGATGTGACCTCAACTCCTGAGGGCCGTCTAGTTGCCCGGGTTAGGCGGGGACAGCCCTATACTATAGCGCTCTTCAGGCATCCACATGCCCGTTTTAGCACGTCTCCCCGCTGAGATCGGCGAGAGAGACGACAAGAGGGGCGATGACAGTTGCGCCTTCCTCCTGCTTGCTGCAATTCGGAACTTCTCCCTCGTCCCATCACGATGGACCCAAATGGCAACGCGAGTCCGACAGGTCAAACGTCGAATAAGGACCAAAGTATGGATACGACTTGTCGAACATGCTATCGTCGAGCACCATCTTATGGCGTGGCATCGGCAAATTCGAGCTTTGGCCAAGATTCTCCCGTGAACTCCTTGAGCACGAACACCGCACCCTAGCAATACTGTTGCCCAGAAATGATAAACTCCAAAATTGTCGGAGTATTTACAGGGGACCGTATACAGGGGTTCCCCAGGTTGCACCATAAAGTACCCTGGCTGGAAGCTAACCTGCTTACAGTTGGTGATCGAACGGACCCTCTTCGTCTCGACTCGATGATCTCTTCCGAGAACTTGAAAGCCGTACTTGTTAGGCGACAGAAAATTACGATAGCCCTGCATCCAACGGGCAAATATTCCTTCGTCCCTGTGGTGATGGCCGGGCGAGTGTTTGAGGGCTTCGGTCGTTCGTCAACCGTGGAACCCTTTTTCCACCAGTGAGGACACAACCAGATCAGAATGAGGCAGGATTGATTGAAAAGAAGCAAGTATCTACGCTAGATCTGCTTCAACGGGGATTGAATTATCACGTCTCGTCTCGATTTCTCCTTTTCCACCGCCACAGATCTCAGCCGAGGGTCATATTCGTCTCCGGGGCTGGGAAACGGAGCAGATTTGCAGGATCTGGTGCGTTCTCCAATTCACTTTCCTCTCGCGACCAGAATGGCCTGTTATGGACTCAGTGCTTCCCGCTGTAGATAAGCTTATGATCAAAGCACTGCGCCTCCTTTTCAGCAGTGATTCTTTGACCCTTGTGAGATGGGCGAATTTTCCAGGTATCTGTGAGTGTGTGTACGTGCAAGTGTGAATGTGCATGCTGGGCTTGCACAACTGGCCACAACGACCAAGGCCTGCATTCTCGGTTACATTTTTTTGGGTCATGAGGCTCTATGGTCCCATAGAGACGAAATCGAAGAGAAAATACCCCAGTGTTCCCCCGCCTTTTTGTACTTAATGCTTTGGTCCCAAGAAACCCTAGCCAGCCACTCGAGTACTCCGCTTCGGTCAGACATGCATCAGTGATCGGTGTAAGGACAAGGTTATCAAATAGACAGCTTAAGAGTGACTATCAATGTGACGGTAAGGCCGTTCCCAAGAAAATCGTGGGCAGGCAAGGCAGGTCTATAATTCAGGTGAATGCAGCCACGTCTTTGGGTCAGTGGCCTATTAGGATCAGTGCCTCTGTCACTTCTCATTTCAGCCCTCTGAGTAGCCACAGTGCACACAGTGGAGGGGACCGAACAAGGAAAATTGCAAATCCTTCTCAGTAGGTAAAAACATCGGATTATTCGGCTGCTCTAGCCCTAAGCCGACGGACATCAATAGAGGAAGATATCAGCCTGCGCCTGGCAACTCTGGAAACACCAGGGTTCGAGCTCTTGCGCCTGCTGGGGGTCTATGAGGTATGTACGACACAAATGCTTCTCGCATTCGGCAGTACAAGGTACCCAGCCGTACGATGCCCAAGTCGGGGAAGCACTGCATTGCTTCGGGTGCGAGTACATCCCATCGTACGATATAAAGGCAGGCACGCAGGTACCTCTACCATTGTTTTTTCTGCCCAAGCTGCAATGTCTTTTCCCTTGGCTGGCGCCCGCCTTCCCCGATGGCTCTCGCCGAATTCTGTTAGGCAGTGATTATGGTCAATGACTTGAAGCACGCAGGAGCTGTGACATAACTAAGCAGTCATCTCATCCCGTCCCTGACCGACCATTTCCCTTCCTGTATATAGATTTTTGCTAGCTTGGGTCTACTCCTCCTCCCAGTGGCGTGCATGCAAACGAACAGAGCCAAACACTCCGCCAGCCGTAGATACTCGCCCTCGAGTCAGATTGCCAAAGCAGCCCAGTCAACAAGGCAAACAAGCAAGCAAACATCTTTCAGTAACTTGCCGCTCTGACCCAAGGTCAGACAGATCAAGGGGGTGCTCGGCAGGTCCAAGCGCACAAGGCTCACATTCATTCTACTCGCTATCTAAAACGCACACGGACAAGACGGAGTTATTGTCCATCATATACGATCATAGACAAATAACAGTCAAACAATCAGGCACCCAGCCAGCTTGTGGGATCGAGGCAGGTGACTGGCACCTATTTCCTTTCGTTAGGGAGGTGAGGGCACAAGCAAGGCGCTGGCAGCCCCTACAGAACGATCGAGTACATGCCCGCGGCCGTCAACGACCGCCCGTCTCCGCTGTTCTGCCAGGTGACTGGGGCAGCAGATGGCCGTCTCGTGGCGTTCTTCGCTGCCTGAGGTTATTCTATTTTGTTTCTACACGCACAGGTTCCTGGCCTCTGTTCTTCTTCGCGTCTCACTCTTTCACTTTGAATCATCAACATCCGCAGACTTCTTTGGCCGCGGAATCTTGATACAAAGCTCGTGTCCCCTCAAGGGGCTTCTTTCAAGCAAGCCATCTTCATTGCATACATTCCCTCTTCAAGCATATCTCCAACTTTTTGTTGTTTTTACCCTGCAACTAAATTCAGTCTTCTCTCGCGTTTCTCCATTCAGATATAGCCCCTCAACAAGCCACTCAGACATTTCATCCAAGGTCATTCATCTCCATCTCAGCTCGGGGTGGATTCACTGTCGACATCATGGAAAACATCCCACCCTGCTACCAGAAGGGCCAGCGTCTGACTCTCCAAGTTTCAGCAGACCAGGAGCCATTCGAAGTTGTCATCGAACGTGCCTACGGCACTTGGCGCAACTCGGTTCAACTCCTCGTCAAGGTCCTCGAAAATGATTCAGATATCGAGGTCACTGGTAAACTTGTCTTCCTCAAGCTTTACGACCGCCGCTTCTCACCAACCTTCCGTGAACGCTGGGATGTCAAACCATGGACTCCTGCGATCGAGGAAGACCTTCTTGAATTCTCCATGGCCGGGTCGGCCCGTGACGCTCTCGACGCCTGGCGGGACAATCCCCAGATGGAGTATGATTTCTCTGCTCCCGATTACCACAAGGAAGCCCTGATCTCAGAGATCATGGCTGAGGAGTTCGAGAAAGAATCTGATGCTTACAGCGTCCTTCGGGCTCACCAGGGAAAGTTCATCCCCCGTCTCATCGCCAGTGTGATGATGCAAATTGGTCCCGTTAGCATGGTCGGCAACGAACCCCTCCCCCTTCTGGACGATCCTTTGATTCTCGGGCACTCTCCCGAGATGTTCGAAATCGACGGTTTCCTGATGGTGTACTACGAAGGCTTTCCAGCCACTGAGATTGCCTGCCAATCCGACCCCGGCGACTGGCAGCACCTCAAAAACCGTTGCGTCGCTACTGTTGGCCACGTCATGGACTCTGACGCCATCCTCCACGAAGATATCCGGCCCAAGAATGTGGTCATCACCCCTGATGAGCATTGCGTCCGCAACTTTCGCATCATCATGACCGACTTCCGTTCCACTCTGATGCGCGACACAGAGACCGACCAGGAATGGGCCGACATGAAGAAGCGATATGATGAGAAGGGCATGATGCAGGTGAAGCTCGAGAATCCGCCACGCCCCCGCCGAGATGTCGAGTCTCAGGGCTATCGCTCTTACACTGCCTCCGCCTGGTGGAACTTTGATGACTACGACATCATGACCCAGGATTAAACAAGCCCCGAGGTCAACCACCAGTCGCCCACCTAGGCGAATTTAACATGTCCAAGTTCAGTGCCGAGGAACTTGGCTTTGTAAAACATCTACACATGTTTTCTGTTTTTGGAAGTCTGCTGCTTTATCGTCAACTTTGATCCCGAGTCCACGGACCGGGTGGCATTATCATGAAACTGAACGATCATTATGGAAACGAATTCACCTTGCAAGGATGGACAGGGAACTTATCTTTCACTGTATATGAATCTCACTTGTATTAGTGATTTTCACTTGTATTAGGTAGTCAAATCAATCGCAAAATCTCGGCACAATAATCTCTTTCCTTCTCCGTAGGCCTTTCTCTGTGTTATGTCTCCCAAAACTCATCTTTTCTTCCTATCTCGTATGTTTTTCCCCAAGGTATCTCACTTTTACAACGTTCATGGAATACATTACCTTCCAGCAATCATTTTGAAATGGTCTTATCCAGATCTTGCACCTGCTGATGTAGAGATTGTATGCCATGTCCACACAGCCACAACCTCGGGCAAATCACACCCTTTCAGGAGTTAGTAGAAGGGCTGTACCTCGTCCAATCGAGTCTCATTCGCTTCATCCACCTCCTCAGGTACTTTGAAACTATCGAAAATCATAAGCGACTGCCATCATTGTGGTGTTGAGGTAAGTTGGACACGTCCCTTTACATCCTCGAGACCACTCATGTTTAGTAGGGAGGCACGAAGTGGTCCACCATGTCCCAGGAATTTATAAGAAGACTTCTTTGGATTGAGCTAACAGTGCCGTTCGAGCGCTACACCAATGTCTAGAACCCATCGAGCTATCTGCCACGCCCTCCCTCGTAAGCAAAGTCCAAACCTAGCCTCTTTTCAGGCCCAACACGAATCGTCTACCACACTCGTTGGCCATACACACAAGAAGACCCCTCGATATCCCTGGGAATGATATGGCAAGCAATGCATATTAGGGAACCCAGCAATCTCTTTCGCAAACACGAAGATATCTTCGGCATCGTGATCAAACCCCATACATTTCAAGGAAAACATCGCCCGCTCCGTCTCGATACACGTACAAATGCCTAGTTGCTCTCTTATTTACGTCTATCTTCGTGCATTCTCGAGGAAAGAAGATTCACCTCTCCGCCTTTGTCGCTTTCAAGGATCCCAACTCCTTTCCGAGATGACTCCCTACCGTCCCGTCCTACCTTTACGGGAGACCAAGACCGAACCAGTCGACCGCACACGAAGGCTTTCACAGCACGCCAACCAATGAGCTCCTTTCGAGTATCTTGATCTGATCCCCCTGTGACAATCAGCTCGTTATCGTCGCCAAGAACCATCCGCCGTCTATTCGAATATACGCCCCAGGTCGTTCGATCACGACACCACTTCTCAAACATTCCTAGGTGATTCTACCGTCAAGCTTTCGACCCAACGTTCAATAAATATCTACACGACATTTGGTACACTAGTAAGTTCATCACAAGAGGCACATTTGCTTCAGAAGCTTGTTTAACATGTTTAAGCCATGTATTCATATATTTATCTTTGACCTTCTGTTTCAACGCCATAGTTCTTTCCTCTGTTCTAGTCTTTCGATCCAAGAATCAAGCACAAGATTGCAAAACCCGATATTTCCAAAACAAACAAGCATCATTATCTCCTTCTCTTTCTCTGCAATAGTTCATGATATCGTCATTTTATCTATTTAAAAACGGTCCAGGAGACCACGGCCCTCGAGCAGAAGGATGATCTCGTGCACGATGGAGCGGACGTTCTGCTTCTCCAGGTCAACAACGAGGTCGGGGTTGACGGGGGCCTCGTAAGGGTCGTCGACACCGGTGAAGCCCTTGATCTCGCCGGCGCGGGCCTTGGCGTAGACACCACGGCGGTCGGTCTTCTCGCAGAACTCGAGAGGGGTGGCGACGTGGATGAGGAAGAAGTTGCCGTTCCTCTCGACGGACTCGCGGGCCTGGCGGCGGGCATCCTCAAAGGGGGCGATGGGGGCGGCGATGACGGCGGCACCGGCCTTGGTGAGCTCCGAGGCGACAAAGGCAATGCGGGAGATGTTAAGGTCGCGGTCCTTGCGGGTGAAGCCAAGCTCCTGGGACAGCTCGTGACGGACGGTCTCACCGAGAAGCATGGAGACGGGGCGGCCACCATCCTGGTTGAGAGTGACTTGGAGGGCACGGGCGATTTGGTCCTTGCCACTGTTCTGGTATCCGGTGAGGAAGACGGTGAAGCCCTTCTCGCGGGGAAGGGGGTTCTGCTCGCGGAGGACCTTGACGACCTCGGGGTAGGAGAACCAGGCGGGGATGTCCTTGCCAGTGCGAAGGCGGTGGCGCAGCTCGGTACCGGAGATGTTGAGCGTGCGGGTGCCCTCGGGGATCTCGTTGGCGGGCATGTACTCGTCTCTGTCAGGGATGTAGATCATCTCCTGGAACTCGACCATCTTGATGCCGAGCTCCTCCTGGTACTGCTGGACGAGGTGCTGGGCGTCGTAAGGGCCGTAGTGGTCCTTGCCATTCTTGTTCTTACCGGGGCCGGCGTGGTCACGGCCGACGATGAAGTGGGTGGCACCGTGGTTCTTGCGGATCACGGCGTGCCAGAGAGCCTCGCGGGGGCCGCCCATGCGCATGGCGAGGGGCAGGAGGGCAAGAGCACCCATGCCGTTGGGGTAACGGGGCAGGAGAGCCTTGTAGACACGGACACGGGTGAAGTGGTCAATGTCACCGGGCTTGGTCAAGCCGACAACGGGATGGATGAGGACGTTGGCCTGCTGTGAGCGGGCGGCACGGACGGTCAACTCACGGTGGGCGCGGTGCATGGGGTTGCGAGTCTGGAATGCGACGACCTTTTGCCAGCCCAGCTTGTTGAAGTGAGCGCGGAGCTCGGCGGGAGAAACTAGGAGATGAGGTCAGCATGAAGATTGCTTGAGCTGAATTCTCCCTTGGCTCTTTCTCTTAAACTGCGACATCGAAGCAGAGAATTACCGCAGAGATGACTTACAGCGCAGCTCCAGGAAGTCATAGTGCTCAAGACGCTGGATAGCCTCGACCTTGCCACCAACATAGAATTCCTTGGCGACGTTGAAGATGTGCTTGACACCGGGGTGAGTATCATCATCACTGCCAAAAACCTTGACAGCCTCGTTGGTCCTAGTGCAAGTGTTAGTTTCCGGTTCCGAGCGAGATCGACGCGCGAGTCATGCCAGGCGGCTTACTTGTCAGGTCGGTAGACATCCTCGACGGTGAGGATGGCCAGGTTGCGGTCATCTCTCAGATCGCGGAGGGTAATCTTAGCACCAGGCTTGATGGCAAGGTCATCAATCTGCTTCTGATCCACGTCCAGCGTGATAGGCATACTGAAGAGGGCGCCATCGGCGAGGCGGAGAGTCTCAACGACGCTAGAAACAATTGATTAGCTCTCATTCCATCCCGCGCTACTTGGGTACATGAGAGTGAGGGCGCTCTCCGGCAGAGGAAGCGTACCTAGTGAAGTCCTTCTCAGTCATGAAACCTGTGCGCCCAAAAGGGTCCAGTCAGTGATTGTCCAATTTTGCGTCATTTGTGGTGCGAGTGGCATCAATTGAGCCGAGAACAGGCCAATTGACGATCACACTACCACGATGGAGAATTTTCTGCAGCAAGACGCACCTTCCAGAGGAGAGAAACCACCGTTGAGGATGAGCTCGAGATCGCACAAGTGGCGCTCAGTCAGAGTGAGGGCGGGGAGCGTCTCGGCCTCAGCGAGAAGCTCGGACTGGCGGGGAGCATCGCGGGCGAAGAGGTCCTTGAGGACACCACCGTGAGGAGAGTTGGCCATGACGTGCGGAATGTGGTGGTGTGGCGGTGGTGGTGAGGGGTCGATAAGGGGAAGGGAGACGGGAGGGGAGGGAGAGAGAAGGTTTGGAAAAGAAGGAACGAATTGATTTTGAATAATAAAGCAACCAGCCCAACGCTGCGCGAGAAACTACAGCCAATGCAATGGCCTGGCCTGTGTTGGAGGAGTAGACAGAGTCGTTATGATAGAGTTTCCGCTATTCGGGTGCCCATTGATCACGCAATCGGAGCACACGAGAGCCGACTGGGTTGGACAATCCCCCGGATGCGGGTTTATGGAAGGGATTTTTTTTTTTTTTTTGCCTGATGGAGGGGGAGGGGCAAAGTGGGTGGTGGGAGGCGAATGGAGCTGTATTAGAGTCAGCAACAACGGGTCGCCGAGGTGACAGAATTGAATGTGGTGTTTAATTGAAGTCGAAAAGACACGATTCTTGGGTACTGAATCAATGCTGGGACGTGTGCTTTATGTATTTCGGACAGCGGTGGACCAGGGAGCTCGAGACGATGGGCAAATGGCACATATAACGGCCACCAACCACCCAAGATCACTGCAATAACACGTACGCATCACCCACGAGTAATTAGGAGGAGCATCAGAACATAGCTCTCCACCGTGGCATGGTTATCTTCGCCCATGAGACCTAGCAAGGAGAGAGCTTGGGATTTCCCAGTGTCAAGGACCGACCGAGCCTCACTGTGTGTACATACATTCAATAATACATGGCATTCGGCGACCCTTGCAACACCCTTGCAGCCGCCAGGGCCCATAGCAGAATTTCAGATCAGATCAACGCAAAGGCTACGGAACAGTCAGCTAGCTGGGAAATAGGGTGGGTTTCAAGTACGTATTCACGTACGTAGTCCCCAACGTACACAGTCGCCCACCGTACGTTTCTGCACATGGAATGTATTATCCCAGCCGTGCACAGCGACATGGGCAGAGGGCAGAGGGCAGAGAGCAGCACCGACATCGTTACATGGCCGATGGGCTGTTTCAAGCCACGATTGTCGATATCACGGCCCAGCCTGTCTGCCGTCGACGGGTACAGCCCAGAGCCGTTTTTAGTGAGGAATTGCGTGCTCGGAATCCACACATTGCTTGGCAGCCAAGCTCTGACGGCAGCTACCCGTGCCCATCATCCATGCGGCCATTAGGTATTTTTACTCGTGCTCTGGATCTCCGAGGATACAGGTACATCACTCGGCTCTTCTCACTCATGGGCTGGGCGCCTCGCTCAAAATCCCTGCCAGTCCAGAGTCCCGACGACAGACAGCCCCTCTACATGACACCTGTTGACTGGGTTTTTTAATGGAGCCCTGGTCCGTGGTCGGCGGTACGTCGCTCTCAGCCACCTGAGCGACGCCATCAGTCGTTTCATCACCAGACTGTGATCTGCCGTGATACTCAAACGAGCAATAGAGCGACGTCTCCTTTGTTTACGACTTGTAGCAAGACTGTTTTGCGGGCATTTCATTCCACGCAAAACGGGCCGTGCTATCATGCTGCCTCCACAATATCTCCTGGGTCCGGCCTCACCTTGTAATAAGTCTAGATACAAAAACGTGCCAGTAGGACGCGGCTCTCGATCGCAGGACCCAGACACCTCTAGCTAGATAAGTCGCTCACCCTGCTTCCTCATGGAGCACACGGAGACGGTGTCGTCTCCACACGATGCAAAAACTGGCGGATGCCGGGGATTGCGCTGATCGGAGGTCGGGCCATGGGTCGGTCCAGTTAACCGCCCTGGATAGCAAAAAGGTCCGCTTCCATTTGCCTGCCTGAAAAGGAGGGTGTTTGACATCAGAGCTCGGATCGGTCAGTGGAAGACCAATTCAGCTGCATTAGTAAACCTACTCGCCTCTGCTTGCTCCGGGTCGGTGTGTCGGTGATTCGTAAGCACAGCCACAGGTGTAGTGGCTTAAACCTGTAGTTCAAGCCACAGGTGTTGTGGCTTGACACCTCTCTCTGCATTTCAAGCCACAACCCACGTGCCGGCTGATGGGCAGCCACTTGACATCACTGATTTTGCTCCACGAATTGATCTTCTTTCAAACCTCGATTAATTATGAGCCAAGGTAGCTAGCTATGTCTGTCGAAATGGCAAAGTTTCTCTACTTGTCCCAGCATCCAACACAGCTAGCTAGCCCTCCATTGCCTATCCAATTACAAAGCCATTCGGTACTGCACAAATTGCGTATCGGCCAGTTTGTCATACAAAGCACGCGCTGTGACGTTATCATGCTTCGTTAGCCATTGCAGCCGAAGGCACCCTGTATCTCTGGCGACATCAGCGACTGCCTCGATCAATTTACGGCCCAAGCCTTGGCCACGAATCGCGGGGTCCACGAATAAATCTAGGGATGCACATATTTAGTTATACTTATTGGCACCAATGAAGAGAGAGAGAAAGCAACGAAAAGGTAAAGGGCGCCATGCAGAAACCGTACCGTTCAGCATCATAATCTTCTTCTCGCTCCAGGGTGTGATCTCGGGGAAAAAGTGGGCAATCCCAACCATCTTCTCAGCCCCGTCCCCGACCTGCCTCACCACCAGAGCCTGGAGGCCATCCTTCTCCACAATGATGCGGTCGAATGTCTTCTTGTACTGCTCGTCGTCAATCGAGGAACGGTAGAAGTCAATGTATGCTCTGAACAGGACAGCCCACTCGTCGTAGTCGTCGCGTGTGAGCTTGGTGATTTTATACTCGACGTTTGACGTCATTGTGAGGAACAGGGGCCTCGAGGTGGTAGTAACGATAGATTATGTCTGAACGGAATGGAGAGGCGTCTAGAGCATCTACATAGTAGGTAAATATACCCAAAGCAACCGGCATCTAGACCGGTTGCTTGTCATCCGTCATCGGGCTCGGTAGCTACCCGGGACCGAAGCTCCCCTCACCGGCACGGTGCTTTGCTATGCTTCCACAAATGATTATTCCATTCAAGTAGGTGATCGCTCTGGTAGACTTGGATGAGTAGGTGAGAGCATGCCGGCAGTTTGAAAGTGCGGAGTATCAAGGCGGGGGAGACACATTCCAGTGGGTTGGGTAGCCATCTACGGATCAAACTGAACACAAGAATCTTGCCAAGAGCAGAGATCGAAGCAGATGCAGCTGCTAGTCTGTTCTGCTGCACACAGGGGGTACTGTCTGTATCTTGTGACTTACAAAAAGAACTACGGCTTGACGGTTGAGAATTCTACGTTACAGTGTCAAGAGAAACACATCACCTTGCCCTCCCCATCCCCATGATCTCCCATCTGTGGGTGCACCTGTATGTGCTCGTGATCCGCACGGCATTCCAGTCCTGGGACCCGTTATCCCAGTTGATTGGATGTGGCTGGTGGCTGCGGGGTGGTGATGCAACCATAAGCAATAATAGGTATGGGGGGAAGCGGTTAATACCCGACCTAAAGCAAGATTTAGCATTTTAAGGTCCCCGTAACGTTCTGCTTCGATTCCTGCTACTTGTTACAGCCTCCAGTCTGCTCTGGTACTGGGACAGATCGTGGATGGCACTCAGGGGCTGGACCATTAGGCGTGGCGTCGATGTGCCCAATAGCTGAAGGCAAAGCTGCTAGTAAGCAGTCTTGGCAGACAATCCCGCCTCTAAGCAAAAATACAGTGAGGTGAAAGTCTCCACCAGCGACCAACCACGCCATGGTCCCCCTTGTTCTGCTCTAACCACCGTCATCGTGGTTCTGGGATCTGACATCTGATTTTCATCTCTGCCTTCCCGCGAGCCTGTTTCTAGACCCGAACCATCCTCGCGCATACGTAGGATGCCATCGATATCCTCTGCCAACAATTGCCCTTGATTCCCCCCATGTCTGGGCCGAGTGTCCCAGGCAGATCTCGACTTTCCGGCCACCATCTCCATTAGCCCGTGCGATCCGAAGCCATTCCAATCCGCAGATCCCTCGTCCAAGACACCCGTTGTGTCTGAGGCCGTTTGCCCTTTGCTGCCGCCTTTCCCGAGCATACGACCCGTTCGATTTTGCCAGAATAACACGTCGAGGACTGGAGTTCTCCAGGCATGGTCGCAACCCGACTTTCAGGGGCGACCGTGTTGTTGTCCCTGGTTCTCTCGACCTTTGTTCGCACCGCTCTCGCCAAAAACACGGTATATATCCAGGGAACGGGCATCGATGGCGTGCAGCGAGACCTCGACGTGAGCCGGTACCCCGCGCTCTATACCCAAGATTTCGACGATTGTCTCCAAGGCCAAAGTTTGTTTAACATCACCAAATTTGACGCCGCGTACTATGCCGACAATCTTACCGTTGTCTTCCATCTCGATGGCGTTACAAATGTCCGAAACGAGAACTTAGTCTGTGCGTCTACTTTACTTGCCCTTTACTCCGATGTATGCAGCTAACATGGGATGATAAAGTGTATCTGAACATCGAAGCCTACGGCATCAGTCGATTCAACATCTCCTACGACCCTTGCAAGTCGGGCATACACTCCATGTGCCCCTTGAACTCGAGCATTCCCGTGTCGGCCGCTGCCATCATCCCCGTCACTGCCGACCAAGTAGCCGAAGTTCCCTCGATCGCTCTCGATATCCCCGACGTCGAAGGCTTTGCGCGCCTACATGTGTTTGCCAACTCGAGTCGGACAGAAATCGGCTGTTTCCAGGCGGCCCTCACCAACGGCCAAACCTTCTCGCAACCTCATGTCATCGGGTCGATCCTCGGAGTCTTCACCTTCTTTGCCGCCGTTGCATCCTTCGTCACTGCCGCATACGGCGTGAGCCTGGCGCACATCAGAACCCACTACGCACACTCCTTCTCCGTGCTCGTCCTCTTCGAAACCTTCCAGTCCATATTCTTCTCTGGTGCTCTGACCCTAAGCTGGCCTAGTGTTCTTCCAGCTTGGTGGAGTAACTTTGCATGGTCTGCGGGCATGTTCACCACCACGCGCATCACCCACGCTATCCTGCCGTTCACGGGTAACTTCCGCAACGTCAGCCAGGTGGGTGGAGCAGGTTGGATACCGCTAAACAACAGAGGAGGGCTTGCACGCCAGATCTACGGACGGGACATGATTTTTGGACGGGATGTTGCGGTTGATTCCGATGACAGCAGAGTCTCGTCCATCCTGCTGGAACTCGAGCATGAGACACAGTATAATGCGAGCGATCCCTACGCCTACAACTGGAACGGCGGACCCAAGACTCCCGGGCTACCTCTGCCGGGAACCTGGCCTGGCTTTGGAGGAGTCTTGTCAGTCGTTAACATGCCAGTCTCGGAGGCTTTCATCATTGGAATCATATGGATCGCCGTTGTCGTCGCAGCCGTGGTGGTCTTCATAGCTGCCTTCAAGCTTATTCTTGAGCTGCTGGCAAAGCTGAAGTTGCTCAAGACGGATGGTTTCGACTTCTTCCGTTCCCACTGGGCTGGCTATATAGGTGCTGGTGTCTTCCGCACATTCTTCATCGCCTTCTCCGTTGTGATGGTCTTGACTCTGCGACAGTTTGCGCTGGCTGGGCCTGCAGGACCAACGGCCATTGCCGCCGTGGTGTTTGCTCTCTTCCTATTTGGCTTGGGGAGCATCGCCGCATATGCCTGCATGTTCAGACTTAGACGCGGCAAGTTCGAGGTCTCCCCCGACACGATCCGGTTGGAGCGCGGCTTTCTCTTCCAGCGCATCCCGTTCGTGGCTGCTACTCGGTCCAGTAAGATTGACTCGGGCGAACCTGCGGACCAGCAACCTCCCGTCTACCTGTCTCTGCCTTTCCTGCAGATCAATTTTATCGAGGACGAACCTCACCGCCCGGCTGTCCACCACGATGAGCATTATATCAAGCGGTTCGGATGGCTCTTTGCCCGGTACAGACGCAGCCGATGGTGGTACTTCCTCCCTTACATGGTCTACCAGTTTGTACGGGCGTGCTTTATTGGAGGTGCAGCTGCGTCGCCGCTTGCACAGGTCTACGGGCTCTTCATTCTTGAACTGCTAGCTGTGCCTCTCATCATCAAGCTGAGCGCCTTCGAAAGCAACAGGAACGTTGTCGTGTCAGGGTGGATGCTCTCCATCTCCAAGATCATCACAACCGGCCTCTCGATCGCCTTTCTTCCCGATTTCGACCTCAACCGCACCGTCACGACTGTTCTCGGCTTCATCATCATTGTCGTGCAGGCATTCCTCTCCGTGGCTGTCTTGGTCATGGTCATCCTGGGCATGATATCCTCCTGGATGTCCCTCACCCGGAATTCGGAACGGTTCCCTGAGAAGCTCGAACGCACCAGAGTATCGTACTTCGAGCACATCGCCGAGCGGTCAAAGGACAATCGACGAGAGAGGCGGCGCCGACAGCGTCTACGAGCATCCCGACAAGCGAGACGCGAGCTTGCGCCTACCCCTGCCATGACAGAGACGACAGCCCCTTCGCGACCCCAGTCCACCTCATCCTTCACCGTCGGTCAAGTGCGACGCGTGCAGAAGATGGAGGAACTAGCCGCAAACATCCCAGCTCTCCAGTCGGGCAGCGCATTTTCTTCCGGGCCGGGTGGGACGAACAGATCCAGAAGCCGCGCCAGCAGCACCGGCTCGCGCTTCTCGGGCAGTCTCCCGTCGGCCGCAGATAACTACCGGCCCAGGAGTCGTGCCCATAGCACCGGTTCACGATACTCAAACGGCAGCCTGCACTCGTCACGCTCCCACCGCGCCTCCTGGAACTCCAAGGACGTCAGCCAGTGGGACGCCGAGATGAACAAGGTCGAGCGGGCCGAGTCCTGGAGGAAGAGCCTCCAGCGCAACTCTCTCCGGTTCCAGCCCCTCACCGTCCCTGGCATGCCCCTCCCCGGCAGCAGCGGCAGACCCATGTCGCCGGCAAGGGAGTCGATGGAGGACGAGGTCAAGGCCGCCACGGCCGCCGACGCAGCCAGGCACCCAAGCAGGATCTCGGAAGCCGAGGACGAGGACAACAAGCGCCTGTCGGCTGAGAACGAACCCAGACCCGTGTCACCGCTCACACCGTCAGAGCAGGAGGGCCCCGAACCAGCGGAGCCGAGTAAGGCCTCGTACATCCCCTAGTTCTGGGCACACTGGAAGTTTGATGATTAATGAGGGATATGCCCATCCCGGTCATGAGGATCGAGCCCACTCTCACCAAAGGGCCATAAAGTCGAAAGAAAATCAGACCATAAACCGAATACATCTCCAGGATCGCAGGATCGGAGAAGAGAAAAACGAAATACGAAGGATACCCTGTTAATAATGATTTGTCGAGCCTATAAGTTGCCCACCACAGGGCGTGAAGAGTCTCGGCGTGTTTGGTTTACATGTTTTGCATTTGAGCATCTGGACGGCGTTTGATAAACCCTGAGCCCTCCCACTTTGATGTGACGGGCCTTGTTTTGAGTGTTTGATTTACAATACCACACATGGAATTGAACATGGAGATGCATGTGACACTCCCACTGAAACTGAGCATATGGCAGTCTGCCTCTGATTTTCATAGAATGATAGGAATGAACAAACTTTCGATATATTTCCCTGTTGATGCTGCATTTGTGAGGACGAGAGAATGTCCAACGACGGAATCTGGGAGCATGTCTACACTAAACTGCCTCAAGGCACTGCCAATTTAGATGTTCCTTTCTTCCTTGAGCCCAACCTTAGTCTTCCCCTGATCGATTCTTCCCATGCTTGTATTTTTCCCCGTATGCTAACATCTTCCAGTCCCTCCAGGCTTCACAGGAACGTCACCGTCTTCTGCCGCTCCCTGGCGCCACCGATCTTGAACCTCAGGGTGATCCGGATGCGCAGGACATGGCGGCGTCGTCGGCGGCTGCGGCGCGAGGCAGCGAGGGCAGGGGACGGCTGGGTTTCGTCGCCTTCCAGCCTGGGAGCCGATGAGCCCTCGACCGCTGACGGGGCTGGCGAGGGATGAGGCGTCCCGTCTCCAATGAGTTGATACGGTGGTGGAGGGGGCAGCGTGGCCTCGTCTGCCGTCTCTTGGCGGTCTCTGCTGGACATGATCTCGTCCATCTGGATATCTCTGGGGGAGTGGCCGTGTAAGCAGATGACTGGATTGGGGGGGGGAGGGGCAGGAGGAGGATGGACGCACGGATGAGCGAGGATGGACACGCCGCAGTGGTCACAGCGGTTATCGACAAGAGGGCAGTTCAGGCTCGGGCCACTTTGATGGATGGGCATGGGATATTTCTCGTCTTGGAGCATCTTAAGCAACGATCTGAAAGGGTTTCGGGCAAAGTCAATGATGATCAACAAAGAGCCACGTTGACACTGAAGAATTGAGAAGGCAAGAGATCTTCGGAAGACCCCTATTTATACAACGAACAAGACTCGTACACACCTCCATTGCAAGTTCTACTTACGTTCGGTTTTCCAACAGCCGCCACGGCGTCCACGTCTCATGGCCCGTACTCGCTCACATCCCCCGTCGGTCAAGAAAAAAAAGGACTTGGTAGAGCACACACCATCCCTGCTCTGACCATGAACGCCAAAGGCAACCTCAACCACCAACACCCCAAGTCCAAGACGGTTCAGGACGCGAACCACAAGCGGTTTGGGTCTTCGAAGTCCGCCGCGCCACCTGGTGCGAGAACCCTGACGGAGGCGTAGGACCAATAGGGTGGAAAACCTTAAAAAGATTGTTTGCCCTACACGGTCAAGTTGATCTCCGCAAGGAACGGCGCCTGCAGGATGGAAGCTTGGACCGACGATGGGGGAACCAGTCAGCTTGCAGCACAAGCGAACCGCTAGGCTGGTTTCTATGCCCCGAGGGAGGGGGGGAAATCAGACGCATATCTGATCACGTTGTGATGGGGACTTCTTGTTGGTCAGCGTGCTCTGCCAGCCAGCCTTGGATCTTTTGGAGCGGCCACGGCATGGATCAGGGTTACAATGGGATTGATGGCTGGTCTACCGCGACGTGCTCTGGAAGCTACATTAGTTCCTCTCACGGCGATAACGAGGACGGGCGAAAGGGGCGACCGCGTGGGGGAATGGGACAGGCAGCCGTGGCTCAGTCTGCCTGCGTGTCTGGCCATTACCAAACAGCTTCAGGGTCTGCTCTGGCTCGGATGCCAACCGGGGACGGCACCCGGCACATAGTATCCAGAGCGTCGTGGCCTCTCTACGCAAGACGGTAGTTGGTATTAGGTTGCTTCGCTTCTCTCCAGCAACAGTAAAGACGCGGACGGCTTCCAAGATCCGGGAGATAAGGCCATTATGACTTGACTGGCATGCGTAGATGAGGGTATCCGGACTCTAGCTCGAACCCAAGAGGTCATGAGTCTGGGCAGGGGCAGACGTTGGTAGGTAGAATTAGGCTCCGCGGCACTGATGCTCTCGCTCATCTGCCGAGCGTGTGGAGGTTGGTCGAGGCGTGGCCTACATGGTGCGCGTGGGCCATCGCGAAAGCCGCCATTAGAATTTAGGGCCGGCTTTCGCGTAGGCGAATGCGATGACCCCCTGACCTCAAGTGATACGCGCTCAGCCTTACGGCTTGATCTGCACGGCTTGATCTGTGGAGGGCGAGGGTGTGAGAGGAGAGAGGAAAGGGGGGTTGGCGAGAAGACGACTGCCTCGATAGCCGTTGCTGCCCGCTGTCATCTGTCACATGTCTTCACTGTGTATGCAGGGTCTTTGGTCGTTGCTGCCTTGCCTGATGCGGCAGGGGATCGATGGTTCGCAGGAGTTACCGTTACAGTGCTAGTTCGATGATATTACTAGAGGCATGTTTCAGTAGGCGACCTGCGATGAGCAAGGCATGACGGGAAGAAAACTATCAGGTAAGAGGCGCACGCGAAGAATGTGGTGTGGCTAGGGATAACGGGTCATGTAACGCGTCACACTGGGAAGACGAGGAGGCAAAAGACGTTCATACCGATGAAAATTATTAGTTAGTCTATCGTATCGTGTTCCGAATCGTACAAACCGCGTCCCCCAACTCCATCCATCGCCCTGATGCAGATAGATGGCTTTTCTTTTTCTCCTGATTGTTTGAAGTAACCCATGAACTCGCCTTACTCCATGAAAAGATTTGGTAGACCGACCGCCAGGGTGGACGATAAATCATAATGATGACGACAGACGAAACGAGCAGACATAGAACCGACTAGAACTCCCTGCCCGAGCATAAAAGATATGATATGGCTGTCACGTAATGTACCGTAGCTGACGTTGCATTCCTTCTTTTGCCCCTTTCCTTCTTTTTATCCTTGTATCGAGAATATAATATATCTGAGTCTGTGGTGCTCAAAGAATATAGTTCGCCCAGTGTTCGCATTACAATATCTGCCACGTGGTTTAGGTCCACGCGGAGATGATGAGGGAAGTGAATGGTAATGGAACGGAAGCATATTAACAATGTAGTTCGAACCACCGGGCGCAGCATCTAAACTGGTTCTGCTGATGGGAAAACATGGCCTCTCTAAGAGTAGAAGGACTCGATGAGGTAGATGAGACCGAAGACAAGGAATGCGACGGCTCCACCAACGGTGACTGTGTGAATGAAGTTAGCAACTTGTGGTTCAAACCACTCGGGATAGAGGCGTTGTACGTACCAACTTTCAAACTGACTCGCCCAGCGATAGCCCGTCCACCGATAACTGCCGCACCAGTGCAAACAGCGTGCCCACAGACTGCTCCAAGGGTAACCCACCAGTAATCCTGGCCAGCAGCCATGGCGATGGTAGCGATCTGGCTGCGGTCACCCCACTCGCCCAGGAAGGTCATGACAAACGTCTGAACCCACGCGGGGCTCAGAAGCAGCGACAGGAGGTTGCCTGTTCCATGCAGGAATCCACCCAATGCGCCGCCTCTTGGAGCAGGGCGGGCAGGCGACTGGGATGGAGAGCGTGGAGGCGAGGCCATCTGGCTTCGTGACCTTGGACGACGCCCAGCGAGACCCATCTCCAGCGAGTACGAGTCGGATTGGTGCTCCTTCTCCTTCATGGCAAGCTCCTGCTCGACCTCACTCATCTCGGCACCGACACCCTCGTTAGGGTCCATCTGCAGACCTTCGTAAAGGAGCTTGGCGCCGAAGACGAAGAAGAGAATCGACGCGGCAAGGCTGGTCAGGCGCTTCGGGAGCAGCGTGGGGACGGTGTGGCCAAGGACGGCAGATAGGACAGTCATGACGAACAGGGCACCGAAGGCAGCAGAGAAGACAACCATGCGATCATGCTTCATGGCCATCAACGCCGCAACCAGGAATGTCTTGTCTCCGACCTCGGAGAAGAGGATCATCGTCAGGGAAAGGATGAAGGAGTGGAAAGGCTGGATGATGCCATCTTCCTCGTCGCCATGGGGGGTAATCTTTGAATTGGTGTTAGGGGTAGACGGAGGCTTCGAAGAGAGGTCGATATCGTCGCTGTTCGTGGTTTGGGTCTTCTTGTGTGGCGTGTCAGGCAGGTCATCGGGCTTCTAGAGAAGGGGTTAGTACTTGTGGTTTCGATCAATTGGAGACTGGGTTGGGCTTACGTCTAGACCAGTGTAAGTGGTATCTTTAGCCTTGTCTGTAGAAGGGGCACTCTTGCTTGAATCTGAATCCTTCTTCTTGTTGGACGTCGTGCTCTGGATTTTCTGCTCCTCGCTATGAGGCAGAGGAGGCTGTTCTTTGGGAGACTCGGGCTGTTGCTGTAGTTTTCCGCCAATCTTGTCTTCGCGGGCCTTTCGGTTCTTCTCCTTCTCGGAAACGCCACCTTCGGTGCCCGTCTTGCCTTTGGCTGGTCGCTCGCGGTTCTTGTCGAACATGACACCGTCGTTGGTCTGGGGAATCTCCTGGCCATCATGGATCGTCCAGTCGTCTGGACGGCCCTTGAGCGGGGGCAGGTCCTGTACGTCGTTGGTCCTCTTCTCGTCGGCCTCGACGAATGGACCTAGATGGGGCTTCCCATCCTTGCCATCGACGGGGGCATCCTTGGTGGGCACATCATGCCGGGTGTTGATGTTATTTACACTCGGCGATGCTTCGGCAGCGAGAGCGCTCGTAAGCGCAGGGAGGAGGAGGAGAAGGCTCGAGTGCTGGGATCGGAACTTCATGGTGGCAATTGAGGACTAGGTCGCGTGCCTGGTGGCAGAAAGCTGGCGGGAAGATGGATGAGCAACGGTTGCCCTCCTAGAACACCATAGACGTGCGTCGCGACGGAAGGGCGGCAGATGATCGGTTTGCGATGGAAGGGAAAGGGTTGACGTGGCGAAGATGACAGCCAACGAGCAAGAAGACGTAAGCTATGGGGCAAGCTAGAGGATTAAGAAGGGTCGTATGCGAACAAGGCGATCGGAAAGACTGAAATACGAGAAAAAGGGAAGTTCCGGTGGAATGGAAGGGAACGGCTGCAGCCAAGACAGATAGAAAGATGGAGAGAGGACTAATTCAGGGAGGCGATTGATTTTTCCTCCTCCTGATGGTGATTAAGGAGTCGCGAATGCGAGGAGGTCATAGCCCACCAAGACGTGGCTTGGTTCCTGCCAACTTACAGGGGGGCCACAGGTACCAGCTGAACCGAACGGAGGCCCTCCAGGTGCTCAAAGTACCGAGGTACCCTAGATCAAGGCCACGAGCATGCACTTGCTACGGTGGGCGCGGATGCGCGGATGCCGAGGAAAGAACGGTGATTGCTTCAATTGGAGTACAAGCTGGAACAAAGCAATCTATCGAGGGAGATTCCCCAGACAAGTGATTGATTGTTTGTTGGCCGGCAGCCACATCCCCTCTACTTGCATGGATCTCGATAGTGTTTTTATGGACCTTGCAATCAGTTGAAACACCTGCAGTTTGGTTGGCAGAAGGGAATGGAGGCAAGTGCCACCAAACGCCACACCTGGCCTCCGTGTACACTTCGTATTCACTGATGGCCGATAATGACGCGAATACTCGGTCAGGAATGAAGCATTGTATTCTGTATTATCATGCTAATTTTCTGTGTGTCCTTTTCTTTGCTTTCTTATTGTGTTGGAATACAAGGTTGGTGTGGTCGGCGTATTGCTCTTGATGTCACCCGCCACAGAAGGACCAGCGCTGGGATCTCAGCCACTGTTCAGCAATAGGGGTCTGTTAACCAATCATGATACGCAGATGCTGCTTACATCACTAAACTTCACACACTTCCAGCGATCCGTCGCAGGTGTGCCTCCTTTTCTACAAAATACGAGGCAGATAAGATGATATAGGGTCTGATTGGTGTATTGGGAACTCCATTGAATCGTTTCTGTAGCGCGAAGCTATATAGATTCATCTGGGGTAGATAACCAGAAGCTGGCTTGGTATGGACGTACGAGTGCAAATCGCTTATCTCCGTTGTCTCCAGTGTCGGAGGGCCGCTGCTGTATAATCAACCACAATGAGTGGTAGTGCTCTTGCGGTAACTCACACCCACTTCACTAACAGCCACTGCTTGAGCCAATAGCTCATGAGTCTCATGTCGTCACGAACCTTTCCATTTATCAATCCAGTATCCGACCGCTTTGACTGGTGTTTACGTTGCATTTGATCTGTACTTAAAATCGCCTATTTCTTCTGTATTTCCCGTGACTTATCCCGTATTGGAACCCTCTTATCAATATCCCCCAGCTTCCGACTTCCCCGCCAGGTTCATCGCTCTGAGAGAGCTGAAAGTCGTATCCCCGCATACTGCACACTGTAGGCCTGAGCACTCGACTCCTCATCTTGAAGCCTTGGTTGCCACAACCATGAGCTCTCCTTCTGGGGACCGCGGCGAACCGCCAGGCGGAAATGCCAGTAATGGTGAGGCATCAGAGGAACGAGGGCCTGATAACCCCACGGGCTCTGTATGGTACACCGAGCTCGACCCGTTCGAGCAACAAGACGACGACGACGGCTCTGATGACCAGTATGAGCCCTCGGAGAGTAATGATGATGACCATTTTCTCGATGCCCACGAGGACCTTGATGAGGATGACGAGCACGATGAGTTTATGGACCAGACTGATTGGCTCGCGACCGGAGGCGAGGTTGACGATGAGGATGAGGATGAGGACGGGGATGATGAAAATGGAGATAGGGATGAGGACGAGGACGAGGATGAGGAGTTGGATGAAGACGAACTGGACGTCTCTGACGGGACGGAACTGCTTTTGAGCCTGCTTGATGGTCAGTATCACAGCCTTGTTCCGCACACCCTAGCTGGCTCACCTAGCATATACCGCCAAATGTAGCAAAGCTGACTCTCATTTCCTAGCAGCTCGGGGAGCACCCTACACTCGAGAACAGATTCTCGAGTTCCTTCGCCGGTCAAACCTGAGGGCCGTCACCACAACCGTCAATGTCGCCCGCAGCACACCCTGGCATAGATTTCCTAGGTTCCGCCGCCGGCCTCCCAAGGATCCCAACCGGTTCCCTAAAGTTCCCAGCGAGGCGGGCACTAGGTTGATGTTCTCTGGCCAGTTCGGTACCAATGACATTGAGATGAATTACAACCGGCGGATGAAGAAGTCTATCCAGAGGCGGCTGCTGGAGCGTGAGCTTGGCCTCGGATCCTACGACGACCGCCGGCGGAATAATGATCTCATCACTCAGGTAGGTGGCTGCTGCCTCCCGGTCCTCCCGCCGGGCGCTTCTCTTGCTAAGTGTACTATACTAACGAAGCAATAGGCTCTTACTCCGTCTTCAAAGGCTGATATGATAATTCACTATGAAGAGCCCGTCTACTCCGGACAATTCTCTGACGATGGCAACTTCTTCTTCGCATGTGGCAAGGATTACAAGGTCCGCTTGTACGATACCTCGCGCCCGTACAACTGGAGGCACTACAAGACGGTCACCCATCCCTGGGGACGGTGGACCCTTACAGATGCCTCGCTGAGCAGGGACAACAAATGGCTGGCGTATACGTCAATTACAAGCCTGGTGGCTATTGCCCCGACGGACATCAACGACAGCGGAGACCCATATGCCCTTGATCTCAGCGGCGGAAACAGCGACACCCAGGACTACTGGGGCGGCGGGTTCGGCGGCATCTGGTCGGTCAGGTTCTCGGGGGACGGACGGGAGCTCGTCGCGGGCACGAACCGGAACGCCATCGTCGTCTACGACATCGAGTCCCGGCGTGTGCTCCACCAGGTGCGCGGCCACGACGACGACGTCAACGCCGTGTGCTTTGCGGACAAGTTGTCCCCCCACATCATCTACTCGGGGTCCGACGACTCGACCCTCAAGGTCTGGGACCGCCGGAGCATGGGCGACGGCCGCGAGGCGGGTGTCTTCCTGGGACACACCGAGGGTCTGACATACATCGACAGCAAGGGAGATGGACGATACATTCTGAGTAACGGTAAGGACCAAAGCATGAAATTATGGGATCTCCGCATGATGATGTCGACAGACCGGTTCCGCAGCCTGGATCCTAGCAGCGTTTCGCGATTCAGCGGTTTTGACTATCGATCCGGCCACTACTCCGACGACGACTGGGATGTTCACCCGCACGACAATTCCGTGGTCACCTTCCGTGGTCACAGGGTGCTGAATACCTTGATCCGATGCCACTTCTCTCCTCCAAACTCGACAAACTCGCGGTACGTGTATTCTGGCAGCAGCGACGGAAAGGTTTACATCTACAACATCGACGCCACTATTGCCGGCGTCATCGACGTCAACGAAGCAAGCAGTGACTTGCGGCCAACGGAGGGCTTCTACCGCGGCCGGCATTGGTCAACCTGCGTACGTGACGCTAGCTGGCACCCGCACGCCCCCATGCTGGTTGGTAAGTTTTCACCTTTCGTCTCTCCAGTGTCACATCACATCACCTACCAAGCGGACACATGTACTAACCATTCGGCGCAGCATCCGCCTGGAACGGGGGTGACCTGGCCAACGGAACCTGCACGCTGCACTCATTCAACGAGGGAGCAGATGGCGACGAGGGAGAGCCGGAGCTGCCAGTGAACCTGGACGAGAAACTGCAGCCACTCAGCCTCGACGAGCGCAACGAGCGTTTTGATGACATGTGAGAAGTTTTGGGGGTCATCTCTGCTGGGGAGTTTGCCAATTTATCGGGGTAACATTAATTTGTGTAATGATGGTAGCCTTGATCTAGTCCATGTAGTGCACAATACATTTTTTGCCCTACTCCCCCTTGCCTTTGCTGATGAATTCTTGCGGTCTTTTTCTCAGCCCGCAACTCGACGCCATGCCCGACCACTGTGACCATCCAAAAAAACAGAAGGGAGGAAATAAAAAACAGAGTAATCTTGCGCGCCTTTGGTATACACTCGGGGAGAGAACGGGATGCTGAGGTGGTGGGCGGCGGGATTGTGCGTGCGCGCACGTGTCGTTCCTTGGGTTTTCTTTCTTCTGGAATCGGGACTTATGCGCTTCCGACGAGGACACGGGTCAGGGGAAGGTGGACTAGAAGAGCAGAAAGGTCAGTATTGGCGCTGGATGGGGGGCTTCGAAGGTGGTTCGTAGGGAGAGTCGTACTCAGCTCTGCGAGGATGGTTAGCTCATGCTAGGTTTGCGAGTTGGCAGGAAGGGACGACTTACTAATGACGAAACCGATAGCTCCCATGATGATGAAGCCGACACCGACGGCCTGGCAGAGGCGGAAGAACTCAGTCCTGTCGGCTGTAGACGTGAATGTTAGCAATCGGGGTTCAAGTAGCACATGTGGCGCGTTAGGACGTACGCTTGGTGCAGCGCTTGATGAACTGGATTCCGCTTCTGGTGAACTCGGAGGGGACCTCGAGAATCTCCTGGATCTGGTCGGACATGATGGCGGATGGCGAATTGGCGGAATTGATCAAGTTTTGGTAGCAAAGGAGTGGCAGAGGTTGATGGCTCTGGAAGGGGAGTTGGGAAATTTGAAGGTGCTGTGCTGGCGATTAGGGATGGATGGATTGGTGTAGGTAATAAGCTAATAAGGACAGGTGCCGAATGCGACCCTTCTCAGCGACGTGTTCTCAATCAGGGCGTTTCCCCAGAACCTGCCAGTCTGGCCCCGGAAATAGTTCGGCTGGTTGAATGGCGAGCGCCACATTGAACACAAAGAGAAGGGGCGGCTGTGGCTGGAAACTTAGTTAGAACC